GGGACATTAAGGGATATTTTAAATAATAATAATAATTGCGACATAGATAGCGTTTTGTTCGGCTCTCAGTTAATCATTACAAGAAAATACGAGGACATCTTTAGAGACATTCACTATATAGGTTTGTTAGTAACGATGACATACCGCAAGCACACTATGCGCATATCAGATACACAGGATACTGGTTACCACGTTTCTGATACGAATAAAGCTTGTAGTGTAACTGATACTCAGAAAGACAGCGGAAAAAAACTATGTATATCAACTACAAAACAGAATCAATAACGAAACACAAACAAGACCAAGTACATTTGCTGAAGGTGCACAATATGCACGTGCTTGGGGTTTCACACCATAGAAAACTTTCAGACAAAATTAAAGACACAACAAAAACACGTAAAGACTAGTAAATAACTTTCAAAATTAGAGAAATAAAAAAAACTTTCTCTATAGTCGTGGAGAATTCGGGAGAGAGAAGGAACTTTACCCCCTAGACTCCTTTGTATAGAGACTCAGCCTCGGAACTCCATGAATGGGCCTGTTGAGCGTTTAGATGATACGGAAAATTCAATAAAATAACTTGTATATATATATATATATATGTATGTGTTTCTTTAAACCAGATATATAAGTGGGAGTAAAAATCGAAGGAGTTAATTCATCTTTTAGTGACACACAGGCATGTCTACGAGTGCCAGTAAAGTCAAGGGAAAGGTACAAATGATTTAAACTCACAAATTTCCTAACGATTCAGTCATCATTCATAAGTTTCTCACTACGTTCGTGTTCGCGTATATTAGCTCAAATCTAGGCAGCGTTTGTGATATATTGTGTGTTAGGGCTCATTTTCACTGCCCAAAGTATCTTTCATGACGTTTTCTTCTATGCTGACATTTACTGATCTATATTTGAGCTAATATACGCGAACACGAACGTAGTGAAAAACTTATGAGTGATAACTGAATCGTTAGGAAATTTGCATGACCAACCGAAAGTAAACAATCAGTAGCTCAAAATACAGGATACGGGTTTAGCCCCAACGAAATTTTTCAGCATTTTCGTCCTTTCAGAAATTCAATCAAAGATCATAATTGTGTGCAACTTTAAAAGCCTGTCGGTCACGCTTTCATTTCCTCAAACGACCTGGTCCAAGACCGACAATTTCCTCAGGTACCGTCATTCATTTTCCTACATGACTGCTACAAAGGTTTCTCCGGTGATCAGACTAGTAGCACGAAAGATGACGTTGTTTCCTGCTTTTGACAAACGGAAAACTTGGCAATTATTATTGAATGACACTTGATGGGTTAAATAAGAAAAGACCGTCTTTGTTACTGCTATCAGGACCATTTCACTAAAATGTAATTAATTATCTTAGAAAATGAACTAGATTAACAAAAAAGGGCTCATGTGTTTCATTAAATATCCTAGACTAGCGCCACCTATAGGTTGTGAAATATTAAAAGCAACAGTGCTAAGATTGTACTTGGGCCTTTATTAACTAAAAAGTTGGTGGGCAATTAAGCATGTTAATACACTTTAGCACTTTAAACAGTGAAAATTCTGACAACATTTATTTTTTTCAATAAACGGTTAAAGATACTTTAGTGACTGATGTACTTAGGTTTTTTTTTGAGACTTTTAAAGAGCTCGTTGCAGATAAGCTGTTTATGTTCTTGTGTTGAACAGCCAGTTAATGGAACTGAGATGGTGATAAGAATTCACCGGCCATCTGCCTGTGTTTGGCATGCATCAGAACCTATAGAACAAGAACCTTTCTTCAACTTTCTACATATATAAAGCACCAAACGATACTTTACTATCGAATAAATTACTCAAATTAGTGGGTTATTTGCATCACCTGGTACAAAAAATTTAGATTCTAATGCTAAATTTTTAAGTATCGGGAATTTAAAAACCGACTTAGCTATTGGTCGTTTAACAATTTATTGCACGGCAGAAATTCAATCTGTTAAAGACTGTTGAGAAATGGATTTGTTTGTTTGGAGTTAGGCACAAAGCTACACAAAAGTCTCTGTGCTCTGCCCACCACGGGTATCGAAACACGGTGTCTAGCGTTCTAAGTCCGCAGACGTGCCGCTGTGCCACTAGAGGGCCAAGAAATGTAATTCGAAAAATAAAATTAAGATGTTAATGTACAGAAGGCGGTAGAACATAGTTATAAGTTATTATTATACGTTAAATATTTAATATTGTTGAAGTTCTGTTCAGAGATATATTTTATTTGAGTGGCACATATATTCTGTGCAGTGCTTCTTTCATATTTAAAAACGGAAGTTCCGATTATACTGATCGAAAATGGGGGGGGGGGACAATCTGCATGTAACACAACTACATGTATGATGAGCTACATAAGCTGATTAAGATAAATTAACACCTGAAAGTAACGTTCAGATTTTGCTTACTGCAATAAACTTGTATTTAAAAAAATCAACTTCCATTTTCCCATGAAGAGAATGTTATAGCAACTACGAACAGTAAATGAAAGTTGAATTAAAATTTCACACACTTTATGCGCGAAAATAATCTATATCTACATTGCCCCTATAATATGATTCACTATGAAGTTTCTACCCTTTGCACTAAGAGTTTATATTATACACAAACGTCGTTATTTAGAAAGATAATAATAATAATAAGGCGATGTCAATTTAATTTGAACTGTTTTAAAGTTTTATTCAAGCGTTTAAACGAAGCAGTGGTGAACATAATAACATACTAAATGACCAGTGTCGTCAGTCTTAACGTAAAGAACACGCTGAATCAAGTTTTCATAAAATCTAAATTTCAATTTTATCTTTCTGTAAGTTAATACGCCTGCACAATCAAATTAAACAAACATATTGTTTGTTTGTTTGTTTTGAAGTTCGAGCAAAGCTACACGAGGGCTATCTGCGCCAGCCGTCCCTAATTTAGCAGTGAAAGACTAGAGCGAAGGCAGCTAGCTAGTCATCACCACCCACAGACAACTTCTGAGAAGGCTACTCTTTTACCAACGAATAGTGGGATTGACCATAACTTTATAACGTCCCACGGCTGAAAGGGCGAGTATGTTTGGTGGTACGGGGATTGGAACTCGCAACAAACATATAACTACGAATATTTAGACAAAAAGTCGAAAATCACGATTTATGAACGGAATACTTATAAGTTAGATATCATGCATTGTTGACGAGTGTAGTTTGTCACACAGAGGGATAACTATTATCTGTATAGGGGTCTAGATCCTTGTCGGTATCTTGGAGAGTCAGGTGCTATCGAAGACCTCTTTCTCCCTCCTGTGCTGTTATTGTCATTCACCATACTGCGATGGTTCACCATTGCGTTTACTAAATGTGTGTGTACCGTTTACAGTCTTAGGGACACATCAATCAAGTCGAAATTGTATCGAAATACATTTTGCATGGCTTGGTGTGTATAATCCTACATGTGAAAAACAGTTCTATATATCACGACACAATTATTTTAGTAATTCACAATACATAAATACCCTAATTAATACCTTTATAATAAACTAATGAAATCATACTTATATTCACAGTCTAGCAGAAGGTAGCCTGCTCTTGTTTAGATCTTTCTTTAAAGTAATTATTTGAGCTATGTAACATTTTATTGTCTGTATATTAGTGTAAAATGGGATGACGAATTTGTTTGTTTGTTTTTGAATTTCGCGCAAAGCTACACGAGGGTTATCTGCGCTAACCGTCCCTAATTTAGCAGTGTAAGACTAGAAAGAAGGCAGCTAGTCATCACCACCCACCGCCAACTCTTGGGCTACTCTTTTACCAACGAATAGTGGGATTGACCGTCACATTATAACGCCCCCACGGCTGAAAGGGCGAGCATGTTTGGTGGGACGGGATTCGAACCCGCGACCCTCAGATTGCAAGTCGAGCGCCTTATCCACCTGGCCATGCCGGGCCGGACGAATTTGTTTGTTTGTTTTTGAATTTCGTGTAAAGCTACACGAGGGGCTACCTGCGTTAGCTGTTCCTAATTTTGAAGTGATAGACTGGAGGGAACGTGGCTGGCTAATCATCACCACTTACTCTTTTGCAACAAATAGTGGGATTGACCGTCATATTTGAACACTTCTTCGGCTGAAAGGTTTGGTTTACTTTGAAAATCGCGCAAATTCGTCCCTAATTAAGGCAGCTAGTCAACACTACCCACCGCCAACCCTTGAGCTACCCTTTTACCAACGAACCTGCTGATTGTAAGTAAAGTGCCCTAACCACCAGGCCATGTCCGTCAAACAGCTTAAAAAAAAAGACTAAATAAGCTAATTTTACGTTGATCCTTTGAAGTTGAAGCGTTATAAACATCTTAAACCACTTTAAAATAAATATCTGTAATAAAATTAAATATATGCTTCTTTTTTCCCTCTCTCTCTTTCTCTTCGAATTAAAAGAAATCTTCGAACGTCCAATGGTATATCTTGTTGTAATACTGGTCAACATATCCATCTATCAGTCCATTCATCTGTCTGATTTTCACTCAATGTCACTTATCTGTCTATTTTATTTCGTCCGTTTATCTAACAATCCATCAGTCCATTCATATTCTTCCTCTAAGAAGCCTTCTATCTATCCATCCATCTGTATGCCCCTTCAATATTACCTTGTCTGTTATTCCAACAATTGGCCCTACTGATTGCCTGTGTACTCTTCCTTCAATCCATCATATGCCTAACCGTGACGATTTACAAGTGCTAAGTAAAAACGCTATCCTAGTAAACAAAAATCACACACACACAAAGTTCTAATAGAGCAGTTACTGTGGCACAAGGAACGCACGCTCTTTCCGTGACGAATGCCATTCCGTAAACCACTTAATCCCAAGACACGAAGCTAAGAAACGGTCATCTGACCTTCTGTTGTAACACTAATAGTGCATGCTTATTCCGGTTTTATGAGCCTAATGTAAACCAATGTCGCGAGCTACTCCCGGTGACTGTTAGTGGAAAATGGGAGACAGGCAACAGTCGGGAGAATTAGAGGACTTATTCTAAAACTTCTACTATTGGGGCAATAAAACTGCATGGGACGATACACTACAGAAAGCAATTGGTCGTTTCGCTCGTGTTATTATGGTTTTAATTCTTGATCGTTACAGAAGCCTAAGTGAATGGAAGTTATCGATTTGTTTACTATATGTGATACTTCATCTATCACATGTAACGAAATACGTCGAAAACGCCACACTGGAAAGATCTGAGTTAGTCGCATCCTAGGGGTTATTACTGTGTGTGTACCTAAAAAAAAAAATATATAAATAAGGAAAATTTTCCTAGCATTCGGAATACAAACAAATTAAATATTATACTTAATTGGTGTCTAATGCAGTGCATGGTGCTTAAACCTTTTTTTGTCATGGACCACTTCACGAACCGCAGACAATCTCGCGAACACTCGTACTCAGAAAGTACTACCTAAATCAGCACTGGAATAAATAATAATTACGTTAATGAAATTTTCAAATAAAATATTATTTTCATCGAACACAATATAGTTTATTTTCCCTTTTTTAACTATGATGTGGACGCTCAATCTATACTGTTAAGGGCCGCCTACTGAATACTCACCTATCCCAAGGGATCTGCAGAACGCAGATAGAGAATCATGGGTCTGATATGAGGAACAGCTGAAAGCTCTGAAAGTGTTGTATTTCTGTAACAACATTTTGTTTTTCTATAGTCTTCTCACTAATGCCACCACTGATTTCTAACTATGTCTCTCCTGTCATGTAAATTGAACCTGGACGAAGGGAATTACAAAGCACTACAAGCGAATTGCTCAGGAAAGTTTACCCTCCGCTTTCAGACCAAACATTCTCCCACTAAGCAGGCTGGTAAAGCAGGTTAAGATTTTGCCACTAAGCAGGCTGGTAAAGCAGGTTCAGCTTTTGTTATGTTACACTGATGAAAATAAACTGTTCTGTTTACCGACAGTCGAGTCCTTCTGTAATAACAGAACATTGTGATCAACAGTTTAAACTAACAGTAACGCAACCAAATGGACACGTTAATGCGCTGCAACTGCACCATAAAGGTTTCCCCAAAGAAATCTTCATAATTAAAACATAGGTAGAAAAGGATTTTTTTTTGTTTGTTGTTATGCACAAAGATACACGATGGGCTATCTGTGCCTTGTCCACTGCGGGTATCGTTTTAAGCCCCCAGTCTCACTGCTGAGCCACTGTCGGAGGGCAAAATCTGTTCTTCACGTCTAGTTACGTTGTTCTTGTGTTAATCATACATGTATTTGTTTTACATCAGCATAACACCAACTGCTTCAAAGACGTTAATAATAAATGCATGCATGCAAGAAAAACAAGTAAAATAAAAGCAGCAGCATTATTTTCAATGGAACAACTGTCATCAATTTACAGAAAAATAGATTCAAATATCATACAATCTATATATATATAATCGACAATATGTGTGTGTATATGTTCCCTATACGTTTCCACATTTCTTGATCAATCAGCACCAAACTTGATATAGTGATACAGTATGACATGAGAAAGGTCATGGGGGGTTGGACCCCCCATCTATATAAATAAACGTCAATATGTGTGTGTGTGTATCTGTTCCTTATACGTTTCCAGCATCAATAAGCACTAAACTTGACACAGTGATACAGTACCACAGAGAAAAGTCATGGGGGGTGAACTCCCCCATCTAATTTCGGAAAAACTACCAATTTTGTATATCCCTCATCGTTAGAATGAACTATATAACCACTATTGTTAGAGTTCTTGAAAACAATATATCATTCTTTTCAGTATTGATAACTCTATGTATATTTTTATCCCACTTTTAATGTTTATTATGTTAAGAAAAAATTAATAAATAGAAGCACAATTTCATATCCTTTGTTACAAACGCGTTTCTATTTCACCCATCCAACCGACGGGTACTTCAGTTTATTTTCCATAAGTATCAACACGATTTGTACTGTAAAGATCTGACAACAAATGTTGGAAATAATATCAAATTTTTATGTTTGCTTACACAGGATAGTTTGTTTGTTTGTACACATAATGGCCTAAACGGCAAGGTAGTCCCTAATTTTGATGTGCAAACCAGAGGTTGTAATGCATCCACAGCTGAAACTAGGAAACCTGCTTGATAGCTATACATCTTGAGCTCAAGACTTTGAAATCTCATGTTAGACATCCTAACTATTAAGCCACGCTTGAGCCCATACACAGGGATAGACTAAATATTTGTTTTTCTTTCTTCGTTCCAAGCAGCAGTTGTATTTTGTAGTTTAGATTTTTAATGTTAAAGTATTTGTCAACTTGGACTACAACTTGTGGAATGCAGGAGTTAAACAACCAGATCAAAGACTGCAAGATTCACGAGTTAAACAACCAAGTTAGGGACTACAAGATTCAGGCATTTCTAATATATAACTGTTGATCAAAAGGAGTCCAACCAGTCAGCATTGCCAGCTGCCTATGCAGCTAATCTTAACTAAATAGGAGCATTGACTGTTACACTTATAACGCCTTCACAGTTGACGGTGGGGGAGCACGTTCAGAGATATATCATAGCTCAAGCCTTCGACTTACTATACTGCAGTCAGGAACTCTAATATCTAGGTTGCACCAAACAACTTAATGGATAGAAAATAAGGAAAGAATTATGGAAACACACAAACGATGCACATAAAGATGTCACAAACAACGTGTAATATCAACTAGGTGCTTAATTTATTAACAACATAAAACATTGTTGCAGAAAATTAAAAACAACAACAAATAAACTGTACAATGCAATAGTATTTTCTACGAGCCATTTGCTTTACATAGAGTATTGTACCACACAGTTCATCAATGTACGATTATGGAATATTGTTCCAAACGTCCTGTATTACTCCCATGATTCACACAAGTTGCTTGGTCGCCTTTTAACATTTTCAATATTTACATATGCCTATACGGCCACAAGAATATTCATATCAGGCCTTTTCGTAGGTTTCGATATTCCATCGGTCTGTTTACATCAAGATATCATTTAACTACATCCATTTATGTTTGTGATCAATGTCTTCCTGTAATATGAATCCCAACCCGATGAGTCGTATTCCTGAAGGAACAATACGCTGGATCATATCTGCATGTACGTTTCAGCAATCATGGTTCCATCAGTTTCGTGAAGATCATCGATACCGCTGGCTCAGAAGCAGCCCTGAACTTGTACTGCTATCCCACCATGCATCACTATAGATATTGTACACTGACCATGTTACCATTTTCCTCTAGCTCCACCACTGAACAAACTGTTATTGATGTTGGTTGTTACGGAACAAGTTTAACTTGGATTCATCTGTAATGAGCAGACTTCTCCAGCTTTTCTTATTCCAATGTCCATTTCAACCTTTTGATTTTGGTATCCCTTTTCAACAGCAGTTTTCAAGCAACTACAAGTTCCTTGGGATTACTTCGTGCAAATGTGTATCTTACTGTCCTCGTGACAACATTCATATATATATATTTTTTTTTTTACAGGAAGTTCTTTGGACGTCTTCTATCGCGTAAAAAAATACCCTTTAGTCCAAAAGTCGATTTTTTTCTGCTTCATTACGTCACTCTACAGCTCATTAGGCATAACGTCTCCGCTGAATCGCTACTTATGTTAGGGTTTAATGATGAACAGTACAATGACGGCAACAACAACGAGTGTATTACAGTAACTGACATTAAATTCTTGAACGTTTTCGGAATGTATATACTCCATCTTCAGTAATATATATATTAAACAGGGTTAAATACTAGATACAAAAATGTATATAGTTCAAACAATTTATGAAAAGTAATTACAATACAGAATAAAAGGATGAAGTAGATTAAAAACAAATAAATAAATATGTAATAATAGGATAATGGAACAGTTGTAACTATTTTACAAGTTACGGGCCTAATACTAATATTTTGTGAGACAAGTATAACTGTGATAATTCTTCACTGGCTTGTAAAAGGCGTACGCACCATAAAAACTCTTGTTGTAACAAGTGTTCTGACCACATTCAGTAAACCAAGCACAAGTTACGAACAACGAACGACAGAGGGAGTTGTATATCACTCCTTACCAGTGGGTTTTTAACTAGCTTCGCCACATTTTACTCAACAAGTGAATTAGACCGAAGAAAGATATACGTACTTAACTTGGGTGTTCTTGATGTATGGTATTAAACAGGAAGAATTGTAAAGGGAAAATATTTTATTTTTTAGTTCAGTGTTTCTATGGTAAATGTATCTAAACATTCCAAGAACTTTCATTATAAGTTCAATATAAAGCTTCAAGATGGATTTCACCAAACCACACGAGAGAAGAGAATAAAGGATGTATTACAGCACTTTTACACGACGCTACTTTACTAACCTATTCGATACGTCCCCTGCGTAAAAGTGCTCAAAATGTTGTATCTTAGTCACCTGATAGTATATTCCATTTAAATCTCATTGTATATTACAATTTAAAAAAAGAAGCTTTAAATTCGTGTTAACTATCGCTCCAGAATCAAGATGATTAGCTCCCGGTTTCGCTTGTGCCGCATATACTCCCATGAATTGCATCTTGTCCTTTGTAACTTGTACTATCATCAGTTGTCTTCTGTCCTCTGCAGTGTATACTCCCATCAGCTGCCTTCTGTCCCCTGTAGCTTACTCTCATATGTTTTATGTCCTCTGTAGCTTATACTCTCGTCAGTTGTCTTCTGTCCTCTGCAGCTTACACTCCCATCAGTTGTCTTCTGTCCTCTGCAAATTATACTCCCATCAGTTGTCTTCTGTCCTCTGTAGCTTATACTCTCGTCAGTTGTCTTCTGTCCTCTGCAGCTTATACTCCCATCAGTTGTCTTCTGTCCTCTGTAAATTATACTCCCATCAGTTGTCTTCTGTCCTCTGTAAATTATACTCCCATCAGTTGTCTTCTGTCCTCTGCAAATTATACTCCCATCAGTTGTCTTCTGTAGCTTATATTCTCACCATTTGTCTTCTATCCTCTGCAGCTTATACATCCACCAGTCTTATCGTAAAACTTTGTTTGAAATATTTTATTTGCCCTAAGAGAATTTTCGCTAAACAAACGTTTTCCTCCTTATTGTAAACAACTTCCTGTGATTCACTTATTACCTATTCTTCCTACAGATTTTGTACAATCACTGTAACACAAGTTCAGGTTTGTTTGTCATTAGCTCCCAAGAGTACGCATGCCACCATTTACTCAACAGCATTTCATTTCAA